ATTTATTTTCAAATAATTTTGTTAGACTAAATAAATTTCTTTTAGTTTCCATTTAAAATTTATAGATGAGTTCAGGTAAAAAGTCTTAAATAATTATAAGTAAAAATTAATTTATTAAAAATAATTTATAACTACCTTAACGGATATATCTATTAAAACTATGTTAAAGCTTTGTTACAAATTTATTTAAAATATATTTACAAGCACATATCGTATAATATATGAATAATACAATAACTATATATTTATATACGTCTGAAGATATTTAGTATTTCAAAGAAATCTAATTATTATTTAGTTTAGGAAGTAAATTAGAAAACAGAAATTAAATTTATTTATTTTAATGTAAAAAAAAACAAATTTAAATTTGATTCCAATTAAATTTATTTAAAGTCAATCATAAACTTAAATATTTTCAAATAAAAATGAAAAAAAAAATTAATTTATTAATTAATTGATATTTTTGACTACAATATAGTAATTTAGAATATTGTCAAATAGCCATTATCAGTAATCTTAAAAATTTTTTTTAAAATTAATTTAATACATATAATTTTACACAATTTTTTATACTATTAGCACCAAGAGTTAAACTTTCGCTCCTAAATTAAAAACACAGAGTCACGCTTTAGACACCCGATATTGTTGTTGTTGTAACCCGCTGGGACCTGCAAGCAGATAACATGAAAGGATACACAAGACGATTACATGAGTAGGAAAGTGGGTGGGTAGAGGATAAGGGAGATGAAGGAGCAGAAAGGAGGATGTGGAGAAATAGGTTGGGAGGTTTATATTGAACATTATCCCGAATTTAGGCGGAGAAAACCAGTCACTTCCATGGGGTGAGTCTAAAAGTTAATTAGACGAAGGTTAGTGTGCGCAGAAGGCACAGAGTTAGGCGACAGCATGCGGAGAAGAGCTGCAGTTTTAGCGGCAGCATTGGTTGAAGTAGGATAGTTCTGTGCCTCGCGGGAGGAACTGTTCTTCTGGGGGAAATTTAGACACCCGATCCAGCACTGTACTTGATTTTTGTTATTCAAAATAAAAGTTTTGTTCATTTGTTATTCCAACGATCAATGATTGGAATAATATATTTTATATTTTATAGAATCCATTGACCCATAAATTCATTTGTATTTCAGTTAAATTCATTATTGTATACTTAAAATAAAAACTTTTAAGTTCAATGTCCTTTCATTTTTAATACGGGTACATCCAGAACTTTTTATTTTACTACCCAAACCAGGAAAAATTGAAACAACACAAATTAGCACAACACAACACGCAAAGTTCGCATTTGTTGTCAGCAATTAAAATCAATGAACTAAATAACAATAGTACAGGATATCTGCATGTACTATCCCGCAGGATAATGCATATTTGTCATACATGATTTTAGTAGTATTTTAGCCGTTTATTAAAGCAGTGCTATTAGTAGGGATTTCTATACCACGGAAAATGTTAATTTTTTACAACAAAAAAACAAAATATTCTTTAAATAAATTCATAATTTTAATATTATTTTCTCAACATTTAATAATTGATGCATTTCTTAAAAGTGTTAGAGTTGAGGAAATACCTTTTGGTCTGACCGAAGCAGACAGAAATCAAGCAAAACCAAGAGAAACCAATGCCAAAGAGGCACAAGGCATTTTTGCGGTGTCAAGACTTGAGGATCGACGCAATTTCATACATATATTTCATGTACCTTGTGAGTGGTCAATTTTTAAAACCTATAATTTTATTATATATATATATATATATACTAACTTAAAAGTATATATAAAAGATAGCATGTGATTTTAATATGCTTATGCTTTACTTACTTATAGATATTGTCTGTTTTTTTGCTGCTAAAGGGAAATGGCCTTTTATACCGCCCTTATTGCAGTTGCGCGTTGATTCTCTTGCGAAATCTATCTTTAATCAAACAGATTCATTCATAAGGAATTTTTGCAAGAAATGGATTCAAATTAAGGAATGCTTTCGTCCTATATTTGGTTTGTATTTAAGGAGAGTTCTTTCTTCAAATTGTTCGTATGCTAGCTGTTTCACACCTCTACCTTTAGATTGGTTTTTCGCATCTATTTGAAATAGCATACGGACAGTATCTCACTTATGATATCAGAACGGACACTAGATTGCCACTCTAACGTAACTCAACCTAACCTAAATGTACTTTTTTCGTTATAGGTAGCAATTCGACAAGTAATGATGTTGAAGCTTTTGCTCCATTGCTTGCTACACCTTGTACTTGTGCCGATCAATCGATTACTTATTTCGACAAGAAGTATATAGGCAAAGTGAGCTCTCAAACAATATACAATACTATTGAGTTTCTGGAAAGCTTTTTGCCTTCACCAACAAAAAAGACAAAAAGAAAGAATCGTGTGCGTGGACGTTTGGATGAAATTGAAATAGATTAAACTAAATTAAATGCAGATAATTGTATATAATAATACGTAATAAGATATATTTCCATATGTTCAATGTGTTCAATATGCTAAAAAAAAGTCATAAAAAATTTGAACAAAATTTACTTTTTAATAGATACAAAATATTAATCTTATTTAATATATAGGAATTTATATGAATACTTTTAAAAACTTTTTCACATACACACAAAATTACAAAATTATAGTACGTTTGTTATTAAACAAATAATACATACACATTTATATATATAAACTAAAAATTAAAAACAATTAGAAATAAATATTAAGAATGCATTGAAGTAACGATATTTACAAAAATTGTAATAAATTATATAAAACAAAATCGTAAAGATACATTATATGCTACACAGCTACAGATTGACTTTCTGTAGTAGTAACTGTATTTTTAATATACTTAGGAGAACTTGTTTCCTCCAAAATTGCATCCCATAAATGCACACGTTCTACATTAAATTTATTCTCAGTCTTTATAATAAATGCATCCTCGTTTATATTTGTAAATTCTTGATAATCACAGATTGTTTCAGGCTCAGCATTAAAAGTTAAATTATTGCATGGTTTAATCAATTCCATATTTTGGGGTTTACTGTCAAGATAAAGAAATAAAAACTAAGTAATAGAAATTAAAGTTTATTATATAATCAGTGGAGGTATTACCTGTACTTAGCAAAATGCACGAAATTGCTTACAAAAGCTTGTACGACTGCAGCATCTGTTGAGTTTTTATCGAAGTCTGGAAACAACAACGGTGAGCGGAACAAATAGATTAAATCATCACAGTGTACAACACCATAGTCAAAACTTTGTCGACCTCCAGTGTATATGCCGGCATAAGTATTTAATCCGCTATAATTAAATCGATACAAAAATATGGGGTATTTCTGCGTATCCACAGTATTCACATAATCCTTAATGGCATTGAAATAAGGACGATGAAAACCGCGATCTGTTATAACCTATAAGATTTCGAAAAATTTGCTTATATGTTTGTTTAAATCATATAATTTGTGTTCACTTCAAAAAAAAAAAAAAAATATTGTTCTTACATCAAGAAATGCTTGTGCAGTTCCAAAGTTTATTGATCTTTCTCCTTGAAAATAATAATCCACAATTGTTTGTACTTTCTGTTTAAGTTGTTCATCTGTGAACGATTCTGGAAATTCCATCATCATTTCAAATAATTTATTAAATTTAGCATTAAAATTGTTTCTCAAAACATCATTTTCCAATATCGCTAAAACGCGTACAGCACCTTCATTTGGTACAACACCAGCCAACCAAGGTACTGGCTTATAAAGCCCATTTTTAAGTATATCAGTAGGGTGAGTCACAAAAAATGCATCTCTATTATTAGCTGGTTCAATAACAGGTCTGAAATTTGTGAGATGATCCACATCCCAATATTTCAGACCATCACCAGCATTAACTAATGTTGTCGCATCAACATTACGCAGAGCACGCGCCAATTTAGCCGTACTCAATTCAAAGGCATTACTTATATTACAAAGTTCGGCAATACGACGTGCTTGTGTCAGTGGTTCATTGGTAATTGCGAAGGGTACATTAGCTGTACCACTCAATGAAATAACATTTCGAAACAGACCTATTAGTAGCAGAGGTTTAGTTTTTGATTTAACTTACTGCTTAGTGTTAACGCTTACTCACCTTCAGACTGTTTGCTAAGCATATGCATATGTGCTGATATGCCTCCAGCACTTTGACCGAATATTGTTACCATTTTTGGATTTCCCCCAAATGCTGCAATATTCTTTTGTATCCAACGTAATACTAAGGTTTGATCTTTTAGTGCAAAGTTTCCAGGCATATTTTGATCATTTGTTGAAAGAAAACCTATTAGTAACGAAAATATATTAGAATATTTTACTTTCGCACATTATAGTTACTTACCAAATGCACCCAATCTGTACGCAAATGTTATTAGTATAACCTCTTTTGTATCCATGAAATATTCTGGACCGTGAATACTGGGACTTGAGGAACCACTAAACCAACCACCTCCATATATATAAACCATTACAGGTAATACTTTAGAACGTACCTAATAATAAAATTAAAAATATTTAATATTAAATAAAAAATTAAAAAGTTTATGAGATGTAGTAATAAAACAAAATAATGATCATTTTATTTAATTCAGAATACTAAAATACTATAAATACTATTTTATATGTAATATTAAAGAATCTATAAATATTTTGCAGAGAATCATGTCTTCTGCCATTTTTAAAGTGATGGCGTTATTTTTATCAACCGACGGCGCTTGCAATGCTTTTCATTTTTAATATTTAAAGTTTTATTATAGAAGGCTTCAAACCTACTCAATAGAACTTCTACTGCTAAACTCAATATGTTAATGTCCGGGATAGAAATTAGAATATTTTTGTGCTTATGCCTGTCATAAAAGGCGACTAAAACCCATCAGACATCATATTGTACCATTTTGGGGTATAAATGGTAGTGAGTTTCAGTTGATAAACCGAAGTAGAAATGTACCAAGAACTTTGGTTGCTCTTGACACTGGATTAGCTTCATACCAGAGTGTCATGGTGAATGTGGTTAACATTAAAAGACACACATCTAAAATGAGACATGCATAGAAGTTAATAATATTTTACGAAAAGAAGTACATTCCATACAACATTTCTTCTTACAATAAATTGTTAAATTTATAAATCTCTATATCTCTAATAAAAAAACTTTTAACTTTATGTATAAGATTTTTTTACTCTTTAACAAACATTAAATTTAACAAATATTTAATAAATTATGGTATTTAATGCAGAAAAATATGCGTGGACTATATATCATGAACTTTAGGTCGAAAAAAATTTAATCAATGTTTTGAGAATAAAGGCTACATCTTATAATTTTTGAATTTTAAAATTTTTTATAATGGGTAATTAGCTGTACATACTATGCAATATTCAGACCAAAAATAGCAACAATTTTAAAGTACTAACGAATTCCACATTTATTTTAATTTTCTTTTAATTTCTTTTATATTTTGAGTATATTTTTTTTTAATTTTAAACTCTTGTTAAAATTATATTTATAAGATTTCATAAAAGCATACTTACAATAGGTCTGTATAGGTTCAAGTATAGGCAATCCTCGGTTCCGTAAACTACAGGATTCGGTACTAGATAATTTTTTTGTATGCAATCCATTCTCGGTTCAGTGGCATTAAGTATACCAGACCAACGTGGAAAAGACTTAGGGTTCTATTGTATAAAGACAACAAGAAAGAGGAATTTCTAAGTTTATTGCTTTACTAATATGTAGGAAATATATAATATAAAATTGTTTAAATAAACTTACACTAAACCGTAACTCTCCCACTGGTGGCAAGGCATATGGAATGCCCAAATATGCTTCAAATCTGTCTGTTTGAAAGCCAGGCATATATTTGCCGCGCATACAGCCAACATGTAAGGCGCAAACCTTCGGCGACTTTGGTTGGCTGGGAATTGTCAACGCCTCACAAAACAAAGTCAACAAAATGAAGTACCGAAATACAGCCATTTTCTCTTTTTCTTTCTCTTTTTCTTTTTTATTTTTTATTTTTAAAATTTACTTTAAAAAAAATGGTTTGTTGTTGTTGTTGTTGTTATATTCGCTTTTGGTAACTGGCCGTGCGGCGTACCGTTTGTGAAACCGATTAAGCTCAGCTTATAGTTTAAGTAGCGTTTTGTATTACAAAATGTAACTGAAAAAATAAAATAAAATAAAATAAAAATAATAAAATATTTTTTTTCAAAATTTATTGCTTATTTATTAATTTCCTATACAAATTATTATTATGAAAAAAATATAACAATGATTTCTGCATTCAACTTGAAGCGTTTTGGGTTTTCTGCCTTCGTGTGTTATATCTTTTTCTGTCATTTATTTTTTATATTAGTTTTAATGGCTTAATTTATATAAAAAAATCATTGTTACTGAAAGATTATGCCATTTCTATTTTTGTTAGACCTTTTCGTCGAAATTCGAATTTTCGATTTTATTTCGATTTTATTTTAATTTTATGTGTTAATTATTTGAGATAAAGTATAAATTTTTATTATTATTTAAATTTTAATTTGAATTTCAAACGGTTTTTATTGTGTGCGCTTATGTTTATGAGTCATTAAAGTAAGCGATTCAGTCAAGTTGACGGCAGCACGTCACAATAAAGGTTGTTTTATTTGTTATAAATCTCGGGCTATTGAATATGAATGAGTTTCTGTTTCAATCTGTTGTCAGATGGCATTTGAAAAAGAAATATAGTTTTTACCATTCACATATGTGCAGATATTCACGAAGATATTTGTAATATTTATAAATACATTTCAGCACGTGAATAATGATGGTGACATGTGTGCTTATATCCGGCCATTGAGAGCTTATAGAATAAATGTGTCAATCAATTAATTGATTATGATTATGATTTATAAGAGTATTGTTTGTTTTGTAAATGATTAACTTAAACGGATTTGTAAGACAATATAAACAGGTACGAATTTTTTTTTACAAATAAGCTTGCTGACGTCTTTAAATACCGGTAACAGTTATATTTTGGTTCAAAATGATTGCTACCTGAACTCGTACATGTGACGAACGCTTAGAATTTATTAGCAAAAGTATTATCTATTTAAGGGGACAAAGAATGAAAATTAAATGACCTATTATTCTAACAAAAAGTTTAATAATTGAAAAAAAAATAATAGAATTTTACAAGTAACAGATAAATTAGAAACATTACACCGTTTAATGTATTTAAAATAGATATTTTAGTTAAATAAGGGAGAAATTGAAATTAGTACCATCTCAATAATAATATATGAAACTTTATTTTATTTTTATTATTAATAATTATAACTTACAATTACGGCGAATATCATAATCATTTCATAATCATAATCAAATAAAGTGACATACCTTAGTATACACTTGCATGCAGAACTGTTATT